CATCAGGGACCGCGGTTCGATCCCCCAGCACCACATGCCAGCCAGCCCCGCCCCCTGGTGGGCTGAGCTGGCCACACACACACCACACACTGTCTCTCTCTCTTTCTCTCTCTTTCTCTCTCTCTCTCTCTCTCTCTCTCTCTCTCTCTCTCTCTCAAATAAATAAAACAATTAAAAAATTAAAAAAAAAATTTGTGGGAGTGGTGCCAGCCGCACAAGCGATCCAACATACCTCTCCTTTGTGTTAGGGAAGGTAGTGCTGGGGCTTTAGTAGATGCAGACAGCTCACCTGTGGTGCAAAGATAGCCCAAGTGATAAGGAGGGGATCGCTTATATAAAACAGGGATATCAAAGAAATAAATATTTTCTGAGTCTTATGGGATGTAATGATAAATATGAAGGGGGAGAAAATCAGAATGAACTGAACTGAGAGGGATTTGTGTAATCCATGGCTTCGATATTTCTGTCTCAAAATTAATTGAGAGCAACATACATGTATATGTGTTTATCAAGGGAATCTTATTGTAATGATACTTAAGTAGTTCTCAACCAACCTGTTACTTGGACCTCAATCTGGTTTTCTACTGAGAGGAATAAAACAATTTGAAGAAGTAGTAAATCCCAGTTGGTAAGCTAAAAAATACACACAATGATCCTTCAATATGATTCTGTGTCTTAGGGTAAGTACAAGCTTGGAAAATAGTGGAGGCAGATGAAACATTAGAAAAGTTCAGCAACTCAAAGGGACATGCACAGAAAATACTGAAAGCCGTTACATGTCATATGAAAAAAAAATTTGATCATTATAACCCATTGCACCAAAAGAGAATTCATGAGTCCAGGTGATAAAAATATGCAAAGTAAGCTATCAGGTAGGAAAGTTTCCCTTATTGTAAAATACTATTGGCTGGGGCTGGTGAGATGGCTCAGTGGTCTAAAGCACCTACTTGGAACAAGCTAAGCTAAGCAAAGCACAGGGACCACGGTTCAATCCCCCAGCACCACATGCCAGCCAGCCCTGCCCCCTGGTGGGCTGAGCTGGCCACACACACACACACGCGCGCGCGCACACTAAACAAATAAATAAATAAATAAATGTTAAAAAAAAAGATCATGGCTTTTAAAAAAATAAATAAAAATAAAAAATAAAAAAAAAAATAAAATGCTATTGGCTAAAAATAGAATGATTTAGATAAAGACAATTTGGCCACTACCAAGGAGTCACTAATCCTGCTGGCAAGCATTGATGATTGCTAAAAAAAACCCATGAGTTTGACAAGTGCATTGAATAAGTGTTATCTTTTTACAATAGGTATTGTAACAGTCATAGGGTGATATCGATGTTGATCAGTAAGTTAATACATAAAAATCTCATATATATTATACATATGTAGCTGAGAATATTATTCAGCTATAAAAGGAGGAAATGCTGCCTTTTAATAACAGGAATAAATTGATAATATGTATCGAATAGTCTGGATAGAGAAAGACAAATGCTGCATGATCTCACTAAAACATAGAACATTTATTTATTTATTTAGTTAGTTAGTAATATTTTAGGAAAGGTCTACAGGGTGTTCAGTGCCTATCTACTACGTTGGACTCGAAGTGATTCTCCTGTTTATAGCCTCCCAAAAGCTGGGGTTACAGGCACGCGTCACCACGTCCAGTCTAAAACTTTTAAACAAGTTGATGTTGTAAAATTAGTAGAATGGTGATTATCAAAGGCTACAGCACTGTGGAAAGAATTTGGAAAGGCTGGCCAAATGATACAGATTTTCCATAAGAGAAAAGCATTAAATTCAAGATATCTATTCTTTAACATAGTAACAACAGTTAATGATGATTCATTATCTTCTTGAAAAATACTGTCCCTGGATGCTAAGTATTCTTATCCACAAAGTGATAACTATATAAAGCAAAGCATGTTAATTGGCTAGATGCACCCATTTTACACCAACTATATCTCTAGATATCGTGTTGTGCATGGTAACTGTGTGTTTCAATTTAAAAAATAAATGAATTTTGAAAAGCAATTGGGTAATTAAACCATCATAAAATCCCTCCTCACAAAATACTTCCTAATTATAACTTTAAAAAGAGCAATTTTTCAAAAGAGAAACACTAAAAGGGTTTTTAAATCAAGTAACCAAAATTACTGTTGAGCTATCCAAATGGGGTTTGGGACAAGTGAAAATCATGTGTCACAAGACAGAACACAATTATAGGAACACAGCCTCACTTCTGCTATACTCTTCTAGGAAGATGCTAGTATAAACTTTATTATGAAGTAACATTAAACAAAACAAATGGAGACACATTCTATTAAGCTATTTGCCAAATTTTAAAATTAATCTCAATTGTAAGACCAAAACAATATTGAGATGTTCCAGACTGAAGGACACAACACGAAGTGGTGACAATTAAACAAGAAACAACTTGACTCAATTTGTAAAGCTTTCAGTCTTTTATTCAGATGCTGGAAGTCATGTTAGTTACTATATATTGAGAGCACATTAAATATGATTAAGAAGATGTTCTTGGTTTTGCATTTTCAGTATCTTATATTGATTTTTATTGTTCATTTTCAGGTACATGACATGGTGTTTTGACTTGCAAATAGAGATGGAAGTGATTGCTATAGTTAAACAAATTGACCTAACAGTCACAATTAATAGTTACATTATTATAGAAGAATATTCTTAATAATGGAGTGCTATGTTGGCAACTTACATTGAAATAGTTCAGGACAAATAATTGCTTGTGTTATTCATGCAACTTTCTGCAGATCTGATTTTTTTTTCAAAGCATGAAGTAAAGAGTGATTTATTTTTAAAATAAAATTTAAATCTCTTTAGTTATGTTTCTAGCAAAAGAAATATAACTGTCAGAAAAAATAATTTAAAGTAAATATAACGGGAAATAAATTATTGTACTCAAGGGCTGGAGGTTGTCTTCTTTACAACAAAATACATTTTTAGTTCGAAGAACATATTAATAAGCACTCAAAAGCAAGCAATATTTATTACAAGGACTGTACAAAGTTTTAGAAGGAAACACAGCATTAAACAAGTCAAAAGTCATTAAACAGAAGTCGTACTAGTTGTAGCAATATACACACAACAGATATGCTGATTATATTTTGAAATATTAGCAACAACGTGTAATTCTTTATTCACTGAGAACTATCAATGAAGGATATCAACCCAAATCTGTATGTTACTGACACAGTAAAAAGCATGAGGGATTCAGACTGTGGCTCAAAAATGAAGACTGATGTTTACAAGTCAAAAAGCAACAAGTGTCTACTAAATTCCACCATGGCATGTACTGCTGATACATTCTTTTTATATCATTTGTATTGACTCCTTCTTTCTCATTGATGGCTATTAGTCTCATGTTGTTCATCTTTGCATTGTCTTGCAGGTGATGAAATATGTTTTCCTGCATCCTACTTGTTTTTATGAGATCTTTTCTGACCTTTTCTCTAGCTGCAATGGCATCTTCAAGATCTGAAACTCTATCTTCACTTTCACTCAAACAGTTTGCAAGCGTGTGATTGAGATTTTAAGTTCCTTTACATCTCTTTGACTCTGCTTCATGAAATCTATTTCTTTCCTCTATTGCTCGTTCAAGGATTCCATCATTTTTCTAATGTCCTCTACTTTTTATCAGTATTGCCTTGAGAAGGAGTTATTAATTCTTTCATCATAGTTATCCTTTCTTTTTTAACTTCAGAGATTATTTCTGATCTGATTCCCTCTATATATTTCTACATTTGATTCTTTACTTCAGACACTATTAATTCAGAGATTTCTTTTTTTATTTCAGAGGTTATTTATGATCTGACTTCCTCTATATCTTTCTGCAGTTTCTTTACTTCAGACACTATTAATTCAGACATTTCAGCTATGTGACTCCCAATTTCTTCTGTGCTAATGTCTTTTGCTTTGTTCTGGGTAGGCTCCAGGCTTGAGATTGCACTTTGCTCCTTCTCTTTGTCATTTTGTATAGCCCTGTCCTCTGACATTTGATGTAGAGCTTTGGTGCAGTTATAACCTTAGCACATACTGAAATTCGGGTGTATATGTATGAAGTTTGAATCATCCAGTTGTGCCTGGCTTGGGTCTGGCTGCTGTGCACAGCTTCTTCCTGCTGCAGCCCTTGGAAGTGAACCTATTTTGCCCCTCTGGCAAGATGCTCTGCTCTTGTATTAGTTGGGAGGTTCTGGCCCCTAGCCTCTCTGCAGGGACCTCAGTGGCAGTGTCTTACCCCAGACCTGTATGCGAAGCCTGGGCTGGGTCTGGAGGGGTCCAGAGAGCAGGACAGAAGGACTCACTCAGAAGTGGGCCTGGGCTTTGTCCAGAGGGATCCAGCAGGCAAAAGTGAGAGGGGAAGCTCTACCACTCATTCGCTGGTCCTGGACTTGGACTATGTCTGCATGAGTCCCAAGAGTGTGGTGGAAATTCTCACTCACATGCTGAGCCTCCACTGGTTCTGGAGGGGTTCGAGGGGTCCTGAGTGCAGGGATGAAGGTCTTACATGCCCCGCTTTGGCTGGGTTTGGAGGGGTTCAGTGGGCACAGGGGAGTGTAGAAGCTCTCCCACTCACTTGCTGGGCCTGGGCCTGGGCTGGTTCTGCAGGGTTTCTGAGGGGTCCCGAGAGTGCGGCTGAAGATCTCATTCACATGCTGTGCTTGGGCTGGGTCTGGAGGTGTCCATGCTGATGCAGTCCATAAAGATTGAGAACTCAGATTTTTTTTTTGCTTTTGGGTACTAGGGATTGAATATAGGATCTTTCATTTGTCAAGTAGGCACTTATTCTACTGAGCTACCTCCCCAGTCCTCAGATTGTGTTTAAATCAGTCAATCCAAGGCCAACCCAGGTCTCCGTTAGGTCTGTGAGGGAAATGACTGTGCAACATCTGAGAAGGAGCTGAAGACAGGGCCCTCCTCCTTCCTGTAGGTAGGATATGCCTGAGGGGGCTCAGCTTCCATTCCATCTTGAGGAAGAAATAAAAATTAGTATTTATACTGAGTCTTCAGTGTGCTACTTCTGTACCCAAGATATCCTAGAGCTCTGGACTCTAGGAAAGCCATTTTGTGAACAACAATTGACATGTTAATGGTGTATATTAAACTGATAAGAACAGATACTACACTTGATCTTAGCCAAAAGGCTGAGACGCAATGATGGTGTATATTAAACCAAAGAACAGGGAAGCTTCTCCCACCACAACTGCTTAGGCAACTTTTGGATGTCTTGAATGATCCAAATACAAAAGATGATACCAAACTCCCTCAGAGATGCTGGAACACTGATGGAATTTCCAATGTCTTATAATCTAGACAGGTTCCAAATTATTTACTGAAAGGTAATCCATTCAAAGTGACCCAGTATATAGGCAACACTGAAAGTAGATGTGAGTAGTTCTAACGAAGACTAAGATTTCTCCCAAACTAGAAAGTTTCTAAAATAATATATGGATGCTGAGCTGATAGACCTTTCATGCCAATGTCATTGATAAGCAAATAACTAAGGAAATTATAAGAACTTGAGGAGGTGTTAGGGTTTTGTATTCCATATAAGGTAATAGCTGACCCCTATCCAGAACATGCATGTCACTAATGGAAAGTGTCATTAATGGAA